AAAGAACTTACAAAGAACAAAAAAAAAGTTACATCCCAACAGATATATAAAAAATACTTATGATTAAAAAAAAAAAAAAAAACTCTTAACAAGCTAAGAATAAAAAGAACTTTTTTTTTTTTTTTTTTTTTGAGACGGAGTTTTGCTCTTGTTGCCCAGGCTGGTGCGATCTCAGCTCACCACAAACTCTGCCTCCCAGGTTCAAGTGATTATCCTGCCTCAGCCTCCCGAGTAGCTGGGATTACAGGCATGTGCACCCACGACCGGCTAATTTTGTATTTTCAGTAGAGACGGGGTTTCTCCATGTTGGTCAGGCTGTCTCGAACTCCTGACCTCAGGTGATCCACCCACCTCAGCCTCCCAAAGTGCTGGGATTACAGGCATGAGCCACCGTGCCCGGCCTAAAAAGAACTTCTTAACTGACTAAGGCTATCCATTGGACGCTGGATAGGAGTATTTTTAGTCAGTAAACATTTTAGGAGGAGAATAGTTTCATGTGAACAGGACTTTAGTTTTGTTTACCCTGTATCCTTAGTGCCTAGAAAAAATGCCGTGTGTATAGTAAAAACTCAATAAATATTAGCTGAGCGAATATCAACTCAGAGTTGGGATGGCCATTTTCAGAACATGTGTATTGATGAGAATATATAAGAAAAATGTGGTTGGGTGCTGTGGCTCACGCCTCTATTCCCAGCACTTTGGGAGGCCAAAGTGGGCAGATCACCTGTGGTCAGGAGTTTGAAACCAGCCTGGTCAACATGGTCAAACCCCGTCTCTACTAAAAATACAAAAATTAGCCGTGCATGGTGGTGGGTGCCTGTAATCCCAGCTACGTGGCAGACTGAGGCAGGAGAATCGCTTGACCCCCGGGAGATGAAGGTTGCAGTGAGTTGATATTGTGCCACTGCACTCCAACCTGGGTGACAAGAGTGAGACTGTCTCAAAAAAAAAGATAAAAGAAAAAAGAAAAAAAAAAAATCTGTCGGCAGAATAAAAGGAAAAGAAGGCAAGAGACCACATAGACCCAGAAAAAAGTGGAGCTGCCGTGGCTCTAATGGCTTTCTACTTTCCAGTACTAGTTCCTACCTAACAGTCCTCTATAATAATCTTTCATGACCAGCTCTATTATTTTTAACTAGCTTTTTTGTGTTTGCAACCACAATTCTTAAGACACAGCAGGAGAAAAATTTGTCATTATCAATATTAACATTAGTATTACATAGTATTATATATATATTCTGTTGTAGGCTACACAAACAATCCCAAAAGAAGCTCCAAAACTGCTGAGGTTTGATAGAATTGGTGTGCATTTTGCACTGTCAGTACCTATTAACGATGCTTAAAATTTTCTTGACAAATGTCCTATTTGAATTTTTTTTTTTTTTGACACGGAGCCTCACTCTGTTGCCCAGGTTGGAGTGTAGTGGCACGATCTCGGTTTACTGCAAGCTCCATCTCCTGGGTTCAAGCCATTCTCCTGCCTCAGCCTCCCAAGTAGCCGGGACTACAGGTGCCCGCCACCACGCCTGGCTAATTTTTTGTATTTTTAGTACGGACGGGGTTTCACCCTGTTAGCCAGGATGGTCTCGATCTCCTGACCTTGTGATCTGCCTGCTGCGGTCTCCCAAAGTGCTGGGATTACAGGCGTGAGCCACCGCGCCCAGCCTGAATTTTTTAATAATAAACATACACATTATAGATACAGTATGTTTCATGATTCCACTCTTGAGTGTACCTGGGTTATAAATATGATCCTGGTTCATGTAAGATACTATAAAAGGGCTTCAAAGGTAGATATTTAAACAGATTTATAAAATACAACATCAATGTTTTTCTTAATATGGCTATTCTCCTTTCCTATAACATACCCATAAAAATACATGTTTATGCTGTTGAATAGTTATACCTTTTACCCTGAAGTGAACTTTTGCATAGACATTTTTATTACACACAGTTTGTTTTTCCTCATAAACATCCACTGAGTACTTACTGTGTCAAAATTTTAGTATATAAAGATGAATATAGCTATGATCCCTACTTCCAAAGATTTCAGAGTACTCTCACAGATTCACTGATAAATTAGGACCTTCAGCTTGTCTTCTCTTTATTGATCAATACCATGAATCTTCATCCGCACATACCTGACTTCTTTTCTTCATTGTTGTCTCTCTCACCATCATCACGGTGCACAAATTCATCCCCGTCACTTTCTCCATCTGATTTGTCGGTGTCACTGTCATCAGTACTGTCATCATGCTTATCTTGATCCATGTCCTCAGGATAGCCATCATCTTCACTGGTGCTAGAAATATCATCATCATGACCTCGCTGGGCTGAAAAGGCGGAAAGGAACATGGAGAAGTAATATGATTGGACCCTCCATGACATGGTACCCAGAAATACAGAAAATTATCCTATTTAACTCACACTGTAACAACTCAACGCTTACAAAAAACCATTCCTGTATATAGCTATTCATACAGTCTAACAATATTTTCATTTGCCAATAATTTTAAACACTTCTTTTTGGTAATTTAAGATTTTTTTTAAAAGAGGTTCTACTTTGAAAACCCATTTCTTCCTTTAGCAACAATCATGCTTGTATACACATACACAGTCAGTGAATGTATACAACGATGCTCTAGTCTGATGACAATAAAGCTAAAAGGGAACCAGATATACAAGTCTTAAGGGATTAGTAGCAAGAGTGACATCTCCAAGGAAAGCCTGACTTAAAACACAATAAACATTTCTATACTTATGTATGATGCTTTTACTTGAGTAGATCCTATGATTTATCCAACTGTATGTACATTAGTACGTACATGGTATCCTCTCATTTACTTCCTAAGTTCTGAGGGTGGTGAACAATATGTTAAACAGGCCTAACACAAAAAATGATAGTTATAACAGCAAAGAACAGTCACTTCTCACCAAGTTCAGGACTATATAACATGTCTTCATCTCGCCTACGAGGGGGAAGATCTAGGGCAAAACCCACTTTACGGCCATACATCTGCACGACTTGAGGAGGAGGTGGACCAGGGGGAGGGCCAGGAGGTTTTCTGCCAGGGGGCAAACGTGGAACACCATGTCCAAGAAGAGGAAGGATAGAAACTGCCCGAGTTGGAGGTCTGTTAACAAAAAAACAAAAACAAAAAAATCCCCCCAGTAATCACTTAACGGTAATGAGATATTTATTTTCTCTTCTAAACAATTTTCAAGGGATTTATTTTACATTTAATCAAATGTCACACTGTTTACATCCACATTGTCTTTATTTCCCCCTGCATTAATTTTGGCACTGGACAGTCAATTTGTGCCTTTACTAAATGCTCTCTGATTGTGACACTGCTTCCTTACCCATAGGCTGAGGTTTTCTTTAGTATAGAGGGTGGCTGGGCACCAGGAAGTGGAATGTCCTGGATCAAAATGTTGGAAGGAGCATGTGGCATATCCGGCAAAGGAATACTCTCCACTTCCACATGCTGAGCATTCTGAAAGAGAGAGAACCATTCAATAGTACGATAAAAAAGTCATCCACTAACTAAACACTAAAAATGACAAGTCAGCTGTTTCGTAACTTGGACACGCTTTCCAACTAACATAAATATCACTAAAAACCCCCACAAAAATAATCTCACGTCAATACTTAACAGATTGTCAAAGAATTGAAAGAAATCTTCACTTTTAAAAATGCTAAAACCCAGCAGCTTTTTCTCCTCTTATCAGGTAATTCTTTTTGGATATGATTCGAAATAGCTGTTATTTAGAGAAACCCAACTGTTACAAGTATCTAGCATCAGACCCATCCTATTTAATATGCAGGGTGACAGAAAAATACCTGTCGGGCTGGGCGTGGTGGCTCACGCCTGTAATCCCAGCACTTTGGGAGGCTGAGGCAGGTGGATCACGAGGTCAGGAGTTTGAGACCAGCCTGGCCAAGATGGTGAAACCCCGTCTCTACTAAAAATACAAAAATTAGCCGGTTGTGGTGGCGTGCGCCTGTAGTCCCAGCTACTCAGGAGGCTGAGGGAGGAGAATTGTTTGAACCTGGGAGGCAGAAGTTGCAGTGAGCCTGGGCAACACAGTGAGACTCGGTCTCAAAAACAGAAAACAAACAAACAAAAATAAAAATAATACATGTCAACTAACAAATAGTATATATCCAGCGGTGGAGGTTGGGCTCATTAGCTTGCCTATGTTGAATTTCTGTTGTGTATTAGCTTAACTAAGCAAGTTAACTTGTGCCTTCATCTGTAAAATGGGAGACATATTACCTCCTTTACAGCAATTATAGCATTTGATTTTTTCCCATCTTTATTTTGAGGTAAACAAAATGTACAAATTCAGTAAGTTCTGACAAATGCATATACCTCATACTCCTTCCCAATCCATCTCTAATATCATCCCCAAAGGCAACCACGGCTATATCTTTTTTTCCTGCACAGATTAGCTGTGACTATTCTAGAATTTCATAAAAATGAAATCATAACAATGAAATAAACTTAGCATGTTTTTGAGATTTATTCATAATTTTTCTTTTTTTATTCCATGCTGTTTTGAGTATTAGATTATTCCTTTTATTGCTGAATAGTATCTGATTGTATAAATATGCTGTAGTTTAATTATCCATTATCCTATTAGTGAACACATAGGCTGATCCTAGTTTTTGAATTAATTTCTTCTGTTTAAATAAAAAGGATTAGATTTGCTGGTTCACACGGTAGGTATATGTTTAGTTTTAGAAGAAACTGCTATGAGGAAGAGGTTCAACATGACTAATTCTTCCATTAACTTTTTGAATCTAAGTACAGGTTGAGCATCCCTAATCTGAAAATCTGAAATGCTCCAAGATCCTAAGCTTTTTGACTCCCACATGATGCCATGGTGGAAAAATCCACACCTGACCTAATGTGATGGGTCGTAGTTTTGTTTCATGCACAGAATTTATAACATTATCTTCAGGCTATGTTAATTTCATGCTTAGACTAGGGTGCCATCCCCCAAATATATGCAAAAACAAAACAAAATAAAAAACAACACTAAATCCGAAACACTTCTGGTCCCAAGCACTTTGCATAAGGGATACTCAATCTGTGTAATATTTTAGTTTATCTCTAAAAAGAAAACCTTGATTACCTTGACAGCATCAAAATATTGGCTAAGTTGAGCCCTCTTCTGTTCATATTCTACTTCTAGCTTTCTCAATTCTTTGTAAATATCTGGATTCTCTTTTTCATAGAGTCGTAGAATACGTTCGAAGGTTTCACGCAGTTTTTTACGCTTGTCTTTCAGTACTTTCTCATTTAATTGTGGCTGTTGCACTGGGTTAAACTCTAAGAGAAAAAGTAGATTATGGAATTAAATATAAGAGGCCACTTCAATTAGGTATCAATAGGTTACATAATAAAAACCTCCATATATGTTAAAAATTTTTTAAGAGATCTAGATACCCAGACATACTCTTTTCAATTTTATTCAAGGAACTACAATATTTATTAAAATCCCCACCCTTTTTAGATGGCCACTAATTTTACCTTTCTCAGAAATGCCACCTAATTGATTTTCATCTTCATTGTAATAAAAATCAATTTTCACTGCTCTGTGCTGAAAACCTGGTGAAGATTCTGTCAGAATTGTGTTTACATACCATATTAGTCCTGTCAAATTTTGAGATCTATTAGCTGGGCGTGGTGGTGCATGCCTGTAGTCCCAGCTATTTGGGAGGCTGAGGCAGAAGAATCGCTTGCATCTGGGAGGCGGAGGTTGCAGTGAGCCGAGATGGCACCACTGCACTCCAGCCTGGGCAACAAGAGCAAAACCTCGTCTCAAAAAAAAAATTTTTTTTTGAGATCTTAGGCATTTTACTTGAACTCTCAAGTAAAATTTTTGTAATAAAGCTATGATGATACAATGGGATTACGAATAAAATATCTGGTGGTGTTTGACTCACCACTTAACTATAATCTTTATAACAGATCTGTATTCCTGGCCTAGCTACCATACGATCCTTTTTCTCCCCAACTAATCATGTGTCAACATGGGGCTTAACTGCAGGTCCTCTATCCCAAGAATAAGACCTTCAGGCCTGTCTGGTCAATCATATCCCCCTATCTTCCTTTTTAGTGAATCACTCAGAGATCAATGAGCACATGATCCAAACTAGGGCCAGAACCTTCCCTGAGATTTTAAATGTAGAGGTGAGAGACAGAAACTCTCAAGATTTTCTTTCTGGACGTGTTATGTAGAGATAAAACAAATCTAGAGCTGCCTGTGGCCTTGTCTCCCAATCATCACTAATTACACACATATATTCCACCTTCCATCCCAAGGAGAAGTTCATCAGTAGTAAGCTGAATGAGGCTAACAGAGACCAGACTAGACAGATGGACAGTACTGATGATGAGATTGGATTTTGAGGTTAGTTTCAGGAATTTCTCTTTTTTTATGTTCAGACTTCTTAATTAAGAGAGCCAATGCATGCTTTTTTCTGCCTTAACTAGTCTGTATTGAGTTTTATAAATTGTAACTAGACTCCTGATGAATAGTATTCTCTTCACCCCTTTCCTTTTTCTTAAAAGAATAACAAGTTTATCTTCTTCCTTAAATCCTATTAACTATTATTAATCTTGGTAATTTATTCAAATCTAGAGGGTGTTCTTACACTATACTATTCCTAGTGTGATTAGTAAAAGCACTGAATGCCTGAGCTTTAATCTCAGCTTTGCCACTACATAGCAGTGTGATCTTGAGAAAGCTATGTAATCTTTCTGTGCCCGAGTTTCCTTACCTGTAAAATAGGGACAGTGCAACTACTCTAAAAAATTGTGAGGATTAGAAAACTAGTGGGAAAAAACTGGTGCACAGGTGTGTAGCAAGATAACTACTCAAGAAACCTCAGTTATTACTATTAGCTCCTTTTAAAACAACACATAACATTTGGGGTCATTTAATGAAGGATTCTCTGATTCCCCAAGGAAAGTAATTATCCCTGCTGATATTTAGACCAGATGCAAGAAGTGAAATCAGCTACAGCTGAACTGGGAAAGATCTGGGGTCTTGAAGCCTGACCCAGAACTCTTACACAGGTTAGCTGCACAGATTCTTCCACATTATTTCTGAAACCTTGTAATAGCATAATGCCATGACTGAATTTTTTCTTGTACTGCATTTAATGTATCATTGAGGAGTTTCATTGCATCTCTTTTACTTACTACTCTGTTTTTGGGCAAACCATGGAACTTGTAACCATCACTTTAAAATGCTATTTTACAAAAGTGGCAAAGGGTAGAAGACAAAGTGGCAAAAACTTGACAGGTGAAAAGCACATGGACGTTAACTAGACTGTTTTATTTTCTGCATGTCTGAAAACTTCTATTAAAAAAACAAAATATTCTACATGTTCTAGTATGAAACAGAAAGGATATTTGTGGGTTAGGATAAAATTTCCAGTGGCAACATCAACAATTTTCAAACTTAGATCCAAAAAAAGATAACATGCAGCTATTTCATGTGATTCCAGTTATAACAAAGCAGCGATACTTACAATGCATATGAAGAGTGAATAAAATTATTCTATAAAATGTGAAAAAGGCAGAGAATCCTGGTATAGTATTTTATATATTTGGTTTTAGGTATTTGATGATTTTTTTTCTATATCCTCACTAAACAGTCAAGTATCTTTTTGGATATTCTGACTGGAAAAATTGGAAACTGCCTTATATTGACAGGGGTCTAATACATAGATTTACATGATAGTTGCCAACATTAAATAAAAGACGACAAACAAAAAACCCAAGGTTATTTCATAAACCAGATTTAAGTCTTCTCCTGAAAACCAAGCTGGCCAAACTGCTTCTGTTATCTCACAATAACAATTAGCTGAAAGCCAAATAATCACTTCTCTCTTATTCTGGTATATGGGGTCTCCAGTTTGCAACCGCCCTCTAGCACTCCATTTTGTCTCCCTGAAACTAACATTAAATCCAAGCATCAAATGTCCTCATGCTGTTCTGTTTTACTTATGCCTATGCTGCTTCACTCATTACCTGCCTGCCTCTGTATGTGTCAGACTGTTATAGCTGCCTGTTTGTAAATTCTTACCCATTTCATCTAGTTTCTCCATGTCTCGGATTATCTGTTTTGGATCCTTCATCTTTAAAACTGCAGCTCGAACCATCATGCGCTGTTTTTTGTTCTTAGAAAAACAAAAGAAGGCCAGATGTCAAGAAGTCAGGCACTCATGAGTTTTACTTCAACTTGCTTTAAGAATCTGAACAGAATAACTCCTTGGCTTCTGATCACTTGTTTCGACCACCAGAAACAGCTATGTAATTTTTTGCCCTAAAAACGTTTACACTTGTCAAAAAGATAAAGAAATGCTATTTTTAAGATGTGTTTTCTTAGTAAAGTATTTATTTGAGCTCTGTGAGGTCTTTAGCAGTTACTTAAACACACACACTTTAAATTTCTTTTTTTAAACCCCTTATGTTCTTGAAGACCTTGGGTGATTGTTCCTGCCCCTTGTTCTAAAAGCTCTGCTAGCTGAAGTCCAAAATTTGTTGGTTTTTTTTTTTTTTCCAAAAAAAAAAAAAAAAGGAAAGGTTGAAGCTAAATTCCAAAATTAAAGAATATTTTAAAATTTTGCAGAAGTTAATGCTAAACATGAAAACACAACTGAACATTATTTAAAATCTGTGTTGCTTCAATGTATTAAAGCACAATACTATAAAGCAAATCCTTTCTTATTCTGTTGAAGTACTTTGCCACAAATTCAACAGCTAAGAGGAAAATCCTAATCAGGAAAAGAAAGGTAATATATTTATAAATATTATAAGCCAATATATATATTTAAGCTAATGTAATATACATGTTAATCAGGAAAATGGATAAAGTGATCTAGCATCATGTTTATTTCCATCCTCATTGGTAGATTTTAAAAGTTATGTTTTAATAAATAACAAAAAAGAATTATTTTCCAAAGCATTTTTTAACTCACTGGAAAAGTAATCAAAAATGGCATTATAACTTGTAGTGAGCTTCTCTGCAAAGTTACTTCAGTTCCTAAATATAGTAAAGTTTGGCTTAGTATATCTTACAGTTTTTATAAAAAGCATAAAGCATCTTTTCTAGAAAATACTAGAAATGTTATTCTGAAACCTACTAATCCCAAACCACAAGATGTGCCAAATAGTACTTAAAGTTTTATAAGATGCCTCTGAAATCATACCTTCTTTAATTCTCTCTTCCGGGCTTCCTTTCCTTTAAAAGGAGAGAGGGAGATATAATAAAATTTTTGAATCTTGAACATTAGCATTTCCTTCAATTTCATACAGGTAATTCTTTATTGTGGGAAGTTATAGTATGCACTGTAAAACAGCAGCATCTTTGGCCTCTATCCACTACATGCCAAGAGCATCCCTCTAATTATGACAACCAAAAATGTCAAGACATTTTTGTTTAATGTTTCATAAAAAACAACTATGAATCTGAAAGAAAAAGATAACATAAAATGCGAAACAAGGGCTCGCAAAACTAATTTGCTCAAAATTTCAAATACAAAAAGAAAACTTTCAGCCAATTCTACTTTGCAAGTCAATCAAATCTGAAAACTAAAATATGGGTACTAATTTCTTTGCATGTTTAACGTCTTAATGTTCCCATCCAAACACTGAATATACAATTTATTCCTCCTATCACTGCTGGTCTTGTAATTAAGCCACAGAGAAATAAATTCCCTAATATGTGCAATTTTTAACACTCTCCTACTTCATCATTCCACACTAATGGACACTTACGGGCTTGGTCTGTGGGGTTCATAAATTTTCCACTCTTGGTGGATGATGTAGATCTCCGTCCCATGTTGACAATTTGTATGGTTTACTTGTTCATTAAAAAAAGAAAAACCTGTGAAGGTGAAGACAAAGAAATAGCTTATATCTCCTAAATTTATTTCTTCCTTTTTCTAGTCCCTACCAATCTCTGAAAAAAAAAATTCCTTTAATTAGAAATTCTGTGAGACTGTTCTTTCCTTAGTTTTGACTTTAATGTCCAAGAAAGATGGCATTAAGTTTCTTGACCATGAAAATTTAGATCTCCATCATTCTTTGGAAATGCGATGAGTGTGAAGACCACTTTGAATATCCTCAAGTCATTACTTTATCTTTTTTCTTATGGATCACAGCACTGACTTTGTCAACTGATAAAAAAACAACTAGAAAATGCTTTAACGATACGGCACAAACCATGAACATCAGAATTCATTAGTCCTTCTTCTATAACCTCCCTTTATTAACACGTAATTGTAAAAGAAGAATACGAACGGAATGGGGGTAATGGATCTAGGCTCAAAACAAACACCTCACCCTTGCCTCGCTCCATGGTTTTTCTTGGCATGTATGCTGTACATTCTCAACACTTCTAAGACACTAAAAACTCATTCATTTAAGCATATTTAATTCAGATATAATGCTTGACTCTCAAGAGTTCAAAACACAACTAAAAATGCAAGTATTTGAAATTAGTGCTATACTGAGAGCTCCCCAAAATTTAAATATTAAGACACATATTTTTCTAATACCTGACTCCCAATATATATTTCTTAAGGTAACTAAAGGGATACTTATTCTTGTTTGAGGAAAAAATATTTTGTAAGCTAAAACTTTTATTAACACAGTACCCTATTACATGACTTCTTCCTCTTATTCCAAAAGAATGGGGCTTAATTTTTTGAAGCATTCTTTCCAGTAACAAAGGTGGACAAATTTGTTTCCTTTTGCAAGTAGACACTTTTTAAAGGGAAGAAAGGGAAGATTTTCAGACCAGTTTGTTACAGTCAATGTGTCTTTCGCCAAGTGTCCAATTGCCCCCAAAGCCAGATGTTTCAGAAAGCCAGATGTTTCATAGCTGTTCTGGTGGCAATTACTTCAAGACGACGGTGTCAAAGGCTCTGATTTTTAGCTTCCTCATCTAAAAAATGGGGACATCAATTACTTTATAACAAAGCTCTGATGATACAACGGGATTACAAATAAAATATCTTGTGATGTTTGACTCACTATTTAACTATAATCTTTATAATGGATCCATATTCCTGCCCTAGCTACTATACACCCTGTCAAGTGGTTTCCTTCTCAGAAAAACTGGGGGGTGGAGGTGTGGGTGGGAGAGCAGCAGGGAGTAGGAGGTAGGGAAGGAGGAAAACATGCAAAATTCGTACAAATACAAGCTCTCCCATTTTTGATTGCCTGCGTTTTTCGTGCTTTCCTTTCTCAAGCGGGCTCATGTTCTGAATCTCCTCCCCCACAAATGAAACACAACGGATACGAATTACAGAGAATTTTACGGAAGATACGGGAGCTTAAGTCTGCAAAGATTAGTTTTTTGTCTACAAGCGGGGGCGACTGGAAAAATCAAGCCAAATAACCGTTGGGGAACTGTAAATAGCCAAAGAAGCTTCAATGGGATAGGGTCCAGGTCCACCAAAGGAGGCAACACCACCAACTGCCGAAACCATAGTGACGGTTGACCGACCATGACTCGAGGTACAAGACGTCAAACCTAAGGCTACCAATCAACGTGCATAGGAAGCGGCCCCAACCGCCCCGGGCGATGCCAACCGCGTAACCACTGGTCGCCGCGCCACCCCAGGCCCTGGAATACCCCAGTCCGCAACCGGGAGACCCCGCCGGGGAGAGGAGGAGCGGGGCAAAGGGACTGGGTGTCCCCCAAGCCACTGCGCGGGCCGTGGAAGGGACGAAAGAGATGAGGAAAAGAAGTAGAGCAACTCCATACACTCACACTTCTGCTGTGCTCCCAGGACTACGAGAAGCGGGCAGGGGGCGATTCCCGGCCTCTTTCACTTCGTAAGGGCCTTCAACTCGGCCTCTCGCTCTACCCCTGAGCTACCGCCATCTTGAAACCTCGCGCCCCTCCGCAATCCTTACGTCATTTCCCATTCCTCTGTCCCGCTGTCTCTTAGCGCACCTCGGCCCTAGAACCATAGAGAATACTCAAGAATTCCAGGACCAGAGTCTCTTCCGGTCCCATACAATACTCCATTGGTTGGTTGTCGGCTAAGAGCCCGCCTCATTGCGCTCATCTAGTACAATAGGAATTGAAAGAAGATAGCTGCTATCTCATTGGCTGACGGTCCTGTCTCTCAAGTTGGAGGCATTCTGACCTAGTTGCTGGGGGCGTAATGCGTTGACCTATCCGAGAACGGTACATTCTGCAGATGCAGAAGCGTTCCGCGTTTTGTGTCTCTTGGAATTACGTTAGTTTTTGGATTTTTATGTTTCTTATGACGCAAGCAGGTGCGATCCTTTAGGGGTGTCTCCGTTTGTAAACGAATACCCAGATAACATTTGCTACTGAGTTTAATCCGCTTTGTAAGCATCAGGTTATCCCATGTGGGCGTCTGGTACGTGTGGAAATTTAATAGACGCGCAGAACAGAACATTTGTAGACCACCTGAACAAATAAATCAGCACCCGTATTAGAGTCGCAAATTGCTTAACGGGCGGTGATTTATTATTTATTAGTAGTGTTCTGAAGAAGAAATACGGGGATACATATGCAGTCGGTTTTAAGTTTATGAGTGGCAAGGTTGATATATATTGGCCGTATTCCCTACTGGTCTATTCACCAGCCAAAAGTCCTCTATGATGTCACTCTACGTACGGGATTATTCACTTAACTCTAGGCTTTGCCCTTTCCTTACCTTCTATCCCCTCTTTCCCTGAGTCAGCCCCCACTTATTTCCCTTAAAGGTAAGTTTAAACATTTAAAAAACTATCTTAGAGGATACGCTTGGTTATTTCTAATCTTAACCAGACTATCCCTTGTAGGAAGTCTATTCTTACCACCAGTTATAAATATTTCAAAATATTGTTGGAGATACATATTAATTTTTGGCAGAATCTTTAAACTGCCCTTGAAGGTAATATGATCGGTCCTATACCTAAACTTATCTTTGTGTTAGGAAATTCTTGATTTGATTTTAGACTGAATTTGAGTGTCGGAAAGCAATGACAAGATCTGGTAGGTTAAAGCTGATAAACCAGGTAACACATAAAAAAGAAAATAATCTTGAATTTTGAAGATGAACTAAGTTGTAATATTTTGCAACTTGTTTTTTTTTTCTTCTTAACACCATATTAGTGGTCATAGTTTTGCAACTCATTTTGAAAAACAATGCGAGAAGAGAAAGAGAAAACAAACTGTTTGTTGGAAATATTAAAGTCTTTCATGTAGCTAAAATTTTTCCTGTAGCTAATATTATTAAGATAGGCTGAGCAGTTTTTATTTCAATACATTTCTTGTACTTGGATGGGAGAATCAACTATAACAAACGCAGTCTGGCATCAACAGCATATTAATGATTTTGTCAGTATAGACTAAAAGAGTCCTCATGGGAATTACTTACTGGCAAAGGATTTAGAAAACAAACACATCTGCAGAGATTCAGCTGAACCATTAATAGGCCTCTATAGCCTTTGGCGTTTTCTAAAATCAGGTAATTAGTGAAATGGCCCACCTAATGCGTCGTGTATCAAAGGCAGCTGCCTCCTTTTTGCTAGTGTTGAAAATGAAATTATATTAATTTTTCTGAAAACATAATAAAGTATGACTTTCCTTTAAATGACAAATGCTTTGAGAGTAGTGACCTTCTATTCTGCATCCTAAATGCATTTTATTCATGTGTAGCTGTGTTTTGCTTGCTTGTCTTTTAAATGTTTCAGTGTTTGAACATTCACTTGAGCGATATTTAATCATCACAATTGGTCAGGGTTGATTGCAGTTACAGAAACAGGACCTTGATGTTTTTAGTTTTGATTTTTACCATTTTCAAATCCATCCAGTTTACATTGTGTAATTAGTAGACTTTTACAGATCTGCTTCCTGTCCTAATTGAAGCAAATTGTTACAAATCATTTTTCAGTCTCTTCTAGTTTATGAAAAACAGATTTACTCTGATGGTCAAAAATATGATAGTATTTCTGTCTCATTTGAAGGTCTAGGGTTTGTGTCTAGGCAGAAGTTACTAAGTATGTTCCCTTATAACTAAATGATGTTTGAAGCTGGTGGTAGAAATGAAAGTCTCTGCAGTCAACGTAAAATTTAAGAATTTTAATGAAATTAGAAAAGGAAAAAGTAACCTCTATACTTGCTACTCTATGACAGCATATACCCCAATGTTGATCTGGTAGAGCAGGGTGTGAAAACATCCAGTGGGATAATTTTTTTTTACCTTATAGCGTCTAGCACCAACTCATCCAGGCATTGGCTCTAAACTCATCTAGTCATCTAGTCTTGACATCCCCAATTTCCCTCTCCAAATTGTTTATCCTATTTAAGTCCATATTGGAAGCCTATAGAAGATGAACCTAATCAAGGAAGCAAACACTGTTACTGAAAAGGAAGCAGAAAAACACTTCAGTGGCAAATAAGATGGCTGTTCATTTCATTTGGTGTTTGACTAGATTGGTGACCTCAGTAATGGCATGATTATATTTTTCTGAGGCTGACTTGAATTCCACCAGATGCTTCTCATAACTTTTGATGGCTGCTTGAAGCTGTGTTTTTTCCACTGCTCCCAGGATGGCACGGACAATCATATCTATGCCAAGGCCAAGAACAGCAACTCCAATACTACCAAGGAGAGAAGCACCAATTTGAGCTAACACAGTGACCAACTTGTTAATTATGCCAGTTGTGATATTTGAGCCCACAAGTTTAACAGCGACTGCACTGGCTGCAGATGTAGCTTCTCCCAGGATGACCGAAATAACCTTTTGCACTATTGCAATTTTCTCTGTTTCCTTTTCCTTAATATCCTGAAGTTTTCTATAGAGGGTTGGCTCTAGCTTGTCTTTTAGTGCTTCATCAACCTTTTGCAATTCCTTTTGGATTTTCATAATGGCTTGGATGATGATATCACAGTTTTCTTTGATGGTCCCGTCTCTTTTCATCTCAATGGAGGCCAGCCTGCACCCCAAGTGCGTATTTAGAACCTCAGTCAGCTTATTGGTGACATCGAAGCTGTCAGATAAGCAATCAAGGAGCTGTTGGTGAAGACGATTTACTTCTTGCCGCCTCTTTGGGTTCTCTGGGTAGAGGAAGTCACTTTGGGCCATATTTCCAATGTGATCGCTGAAAAATAAAATGGTAAATTTTTACTGAAAGTCTTAAAAAACGTCTGCTAACTGCGTAGAAGGGACTAGGAAATCTTTTTCTTCATGCATAGCAAAGAAGCAAGATGCTGTGTAAGGAGAATTCCTCAGAACACTCAAGTTTTTTTTTTTTTTTTAGAGCTAGAGTCTCACTCTGTTACCCAGGCTGGAGTGCAGTGGCGTGATTTTAGCTCACTGCAACCTCTGCCTCCCAGGTTCTAGCAATTCTCCTGCCTCAGCCTCCTGAGTAGCTGGGATTACAGGCACACACCACCATGCCCAGCTAGTTTTTTGTGTTTTAGTAGAGACGGGGTTTCACTGTGTTGCCCAGGCTGGTCTCCAACTCCTGAGCTCAGGCAGTCCACCCCCTCGGCCTCCCGAAGTGCTAGGATTACAGGCATGAGTCACTGTGCCCAGCCTCAGCAGGTTCTTTAAAACAGTTATTGTTACGAAATTTGGAGTCAGTGTATGGAAAATGTAGGCAACAGAATACAACCCTTTGATGGATAAATTAAGGTATTAGATTTTGTGGTGGTGGGAAATATTCATGTTTATCAGGCATCTGTTTATTAATAAGCATGATTATTTCTAGGTAATATTTAATAACTTTTATTTGAAACAGACCCCAATTTGAAATGCTTAGCTCTTGATTACTAGTGCTCCTTAGTTTCTCCAACCCCTAGTCGTCACATTGACCACACCTACCGACTGATTTCTCTGAATTTACAGGGCTGTTTTTTTGTGTTTCAATACTTGGTTATTTTCACTTAAAATATTCAAATTACTTTATATTTCTCTACAGGCAAGTTATTTGTTTTCTAAACCTAAGGGATATCCAAAGGCAACATATATATCATGCTAGAATCTTTAAAAAATTTTTTTCTTGTGATAAGAGTATATATTCAAGACTCTTTGGATTAAAATTTCATGTGAGGAGAAGGTAGGAACTATAAATACAAAAATTAGTCAGGCGTGGTGGTGCACGCCTGTAATCCCAGCTACTCTGGCGACTGAGGCAGGAGAATCACTTGAACCAGAGGTGGAGGTTGCAGGGAGCCAAGATGGTACCACTGCACTCCAGCCTGGGCAACACAGCGAGACTGTCTCAAAAAGAAAAAAAAGTAGTGAGAATACATCATAGAATGAATAAAATAACTTGACAGGAGACTTCAGCATTTGTTCTTTTGGCCCATGGTACCATTTAGAGAAAACAGTCATGTTCTTCTGTGTTTATTTGGGTGAAAAATCTAAATTTGAGCCAGTAAGAGCACGATGCTACTCAATATGCATACTTTGAGTAGCCTTTCTATGTGGCTGGCACTTTTTAAAAAAATTAAACTCGAGAGAAAAGAGAGAAAAAATGGAGTTCTCTATCCGTATCCATGTGGAATCTGGCACAGTCTCTTTTTAAGTAAACAACATCGTAATTAACTTGGACCCTATGTCTTCTAGCACCACAGTTCTTATTCTGCTTAAGGGGAACCTCAGAAGCATGGAATGAAGGAATGAAGATGTTTTTCTTTCAAGAAAGTAAACCTGAAAATAACCTATCCTCCAAATCATATGGATATAATTTGGAAATGGAAAAGGGAAAATTTTTCTGAAATTGTTTAGAAACATAAATAACCCTGTATGTTGTTAGATTTAGAAAAATGCACTGGAATCTCCTGGCAAAATAAACTACCATGGTCAGAAATTCATTTTTATCCTTGATTCAAATCCAGCACACATGCACATATATACAGGCAGGCACACGTGTAACAGACACACACTTCCACAAAACAATACTTAGAAAATCTCTAATCCAATTCCCTTTAAAGAAATTGCTTGTTGAGGATCCAGTAAATATTCTCTAAACACACAATGGATTGCAAACTGTAATTTGATAAGCACAGATTTGGACTTTGAATTTTATTTTTTCTTCTAGTAATTTTCCATTAAATGTTTGTCTTTTTTGACTCCCGGTTTTCAGATCTCATTATGAAGTGAAAACTCTAGTTTCTGACTGACAGAAGAAAATTAGCTATATTCCTCTTCAGACAGTTAGGCGAGAGGAGTTTCCTTATTCTGAAAAAGTTGAAAATATCTCTAGCAGCTATCATATGCCATTATATGAAGGCATAGTTTCCAGAAAAGGTGGGTGGTTTTATCTACCTCAAGATAAACAAATGGAGAAATGAACCTTCCTCCTGGATGGGAGGCAGAATGCTTCCAAGTGGTCGGCTCCTTTTCAGTTAACTCATTCTTTTAGCACAACTTCACAAATTAGTCGTAGAGTGTTTCTGAAAGACTGAACAGGTGAGCCTTATTTTTCTCAGAAAAAAAAAAAAAAGAACTCTTCTCCCCCCAGTATTAAAACACTATAACCCAACAAAATAGTAAAGAGTATGGTACAGGAAACAGAGTCAGTGAATTAATGGAACAAATTAGTCCCCAAAGCAGACTCTTCTCTCCATTTAATAATAATAAATTGTAGAATCTCAAATCAATAATAATCAAAATTATTACTCCATAAATGGTCCTGAGTCATGGGCTAGACTTTGTAGTTAAAAATTAATAACAACGTTGCTAGTGTCATACATGTAGAAAATTAAATAATAGCTAGAAGAAAATGGATAATTTTCAAATATCTCTATGGAGGAAGACTTTATAAGCCTAAAACCAATGAAAAAAAAAATCACATGCAAAAATTTGACTAATAAAGATGGCCAATGTAAAAAGAACTGAAAACAAGCTGGGGAAAATGCAAAAAAAGTACTGTTATTATTTTTAAAAAGCAGTGACAATCTAATATATAAGTGAGCAAACAACCCTGAACAGAGTACAAAAAAATAGTGTCTAATAAAATGGTGGGAAAAGTTCAGTCGTACTAGAAATCAAAGTGTAAGACACTGTATATTTTCAACTACTAATGTGTTTCCTCCTTTTAAGTAGTCATACTCTTGCACTTGCACTCTTACACTCTTCTTCATAGGATCTAGATATCAGTTCATGACTTTGTTCCAATAACGAGTTTGGCTAAGAAATGTTATGATGTGCTAAGAATTATGTTTCCCTTATAATGAAAAAGGACTTTTATTCTGAGTCAGACTTACCTTCCTAGCTTTTTTCCTAAGGGTAGGAAGTGGGGAGGGTTTTCTTGTGCTAACATATCTTCAGCAGGCCTGCCACCACACCTGCTCAGGTATGTCTGAGCTCCAGCTCTGAATACAGCTCCAGGTTATTTCTACACCCCAAATGAGATAAGGAGCACTGGGCAATTAGGAAGAGGAGAGGTGGGGATTGAAGGTGAAACCATTGAATTGTGTTTTGGATAGGTGAAGTTTGAAGAGCTTAGTGAAGAAGGCAATTATTAATTCATTAACAATTCGTCTAGTATGTTAGTACTTACCACGTGTAAGGTCATATGCTAGCACCACTCTGCAAACCATACAAAGATGAAAAAGACATGGTCCTTGCTTTTTTGGAATTTCTAATCTAGTTAGGAAGTTAAGACAGATTTGTAACTATAATGTCAAGTTGAAAGTAATATGTCGTACAAAATTAAAGGTATAGTTGGTATTTGACTTGTGCAAATCTGTTTTAAACAACCCATACTTTAATATATAATATATTGGCACTATGGCCATATGGAGACATTTAGTCATCTAGTAAGGTTAACAATTTGTAAGCTTTCAAGTAGATATTCTTAAATATGTGCTTGACAGTTGAGGAGAGGTTGGGCACCACATGGAGAACCATAGTTGGCAGGGTGCAGTATTTTCATTATTGCTCTTAACAATTTAGTTCTGACTCCCGAAGCGATAACTCCACTCAGCAAAACAAAAGCCTTGCAATTACTTGGAGTCACCCTTCTTAAAGGTCAGAGTTGTTACTCATGCAAGCTTCAAGTGATATTTTACAAACAACCC